TTATGTAATACCCGAAATGTATTCAAATTAGGAACCTCTTTTCCGAAATTGTCCTTTATATGCCCATAAATATATACTGAAGCAATAAATAAAAAAAAACACTTGCTATGCATGTCAATCTGCTTCTTGTCGATTTCTTGGGATTTCAACCTTGAAGACGGAGGCGGTATGTTCCAGTGAAACGTTTCTGACATGGCAACATATTTCATAAGACAGTACAATACTCAGTTGGTTAAATTAACGAATAAACTGCTTGCCAATCGCCCTTACTCGCTGTATGAGCCTTTCATTTCTGCTGTGACACGTAAGACCGCCGTTGCTGAAGTGGCGGTCTGTTTGCTGTAGCCTCAGTCACGTTCGGGATGTTTGTAATTCCAAGAAGGCAAAGTGATCGCCCGAAACGACTAAACAAGTGGATCGCCCCGTTTCCTGGATAACGGGATGACGCCATCTTGTCGTGCTATGTTCACATAAGGAGCGAGTGAACGTGTAAACTGGGTCGAATTGTATCCAGCGTGAACTAACCACGCGCCTCGCCCTACAAGGAACAGAAGCAAAGGGCGGTTTCTGCAGGACACATGAAAGGTGAGCGCGAGAGTGAGGTATCAATGAAATGGGTATGCTTTCTTCTTTCCACTGTCTTCCTACTCCTCTCTTCGGGTTAGCTCAGTCGGTATAGTGACAATCTACAGGCTGGACGACCCGGATTCGATTCCCGGCAGTGGAAGATTTCTCTCCACAGCGTCCATACAGGCTCTGAGGCCCACCCAACCTCCTATCCAATTGGTACTGGGGCTACAGCAAGTGTAAAGCTGGCCACCTCTTTCTAATGCCGAGGTCAAGAACGGTGGAGCTACACCTACACTCCTCCATACGTCTTCATGGCGTGGTGCTTATTAGTTAAGCACAGACACAACTTCACCTGTTGCACTCTTCCTCTCTTCCAGTGTTCTTATCGTCTTTCCTTTTTCATTCTTTATTTCTTCTTTGTTCAATTCTTTCTAACTTTTGATGCGTGAAGAGAAGAGTGGGATGAAGAGAAAATGGAGAAGGGGAAATAGTGAGAAACACTATAGTTTAAGGGGAGTCAAGTTTCATGTTTTGAAAATTCGCAGTCAGTGCCCGTTCGCCCTACGATAAAGCTACGTAATTGAGAGGGTAAAGTGTTGGGAAGTGAGGTAAAGTACAGGAAGCGGACTTTGATCTGAGCAGATGAAGAGATTAAAAGGGACTTTGTGTTTATGATCCAAATTTTAATCCACTATATAGCTTATGTTCATGTAATGCGTTACCGCTGTAAAATTCGTTGAAGTGGTAACGGGTAATTGCGCAATTTCAGAGCTTTCACTCACCATTACAAAACTTACATATATGAGAGCACATGTTGAATTCCTCGCATGCTTCAAATTTACACTGAAACTCGTTTTATATTTCATACAATGAACTGGACAAAGTAAGGTAGTAAAGTCATACATTTTTTCGCTGACTCTACAGCCCTCTTAGGCCCTGGTCTCTGTTTTTTTCAGTTTCATAATCATTTCTACAGACCGTAGGACTCCTTTGACGAGTGATCAGCTCGTCGCAAGGCATCTACTTCAACAAAGAATAAACACACACACATACCAAACATCCATGCCTTTTGTGGGATTGGAACCCACGATCCTGGCTTCCCAGCGAGTGAAGACAGTGCACGCCTTAGACCGCTCGGCTACCGTGACCGGCAGTGTATAAGAATAATATATAAGAATTCAGTTCGTACCTCACAGGAAACAGATCCGAACCCACGATCCCGGCTTCCGAGCGAGCGAAGACAGTACATGCCTCAGACCGCTCGGCTACCGTGACCAACTACTCTTAATTAATTATGCATCACGCCATGAAGGCGTATGAGGGAGTAGAGGTATTGCTCCTCATATTCTTAACCTCGACACTAGATGGCCGCTTTACCCCCAGGGGAAATAACACCCGATACCCATTCTGTAGGAGGTCGAGTGGGCCCCTGAGCCGGTCTGGACGCTGTGGAGAGGAGAGAAGAAGCTCTTATTCCTACAGAGAATCAAAACTCGATTCCTGGGTCCTCCATAGCCTAGTCTTTTAGCAGACTGAAACATCCTGCCTCCCTAATGACTTGGGTAGAGGGCTGAGTCATGACTATTAATACATCATTTGACAATGTAGTAAATTTCAATAAGCAATTGTGCACGACAGTGACAAATTTAAATTATCTTGACAATGAAGTTGAGGGCATGCCAATTCCAGTAATGGTTGCTGCTAGTCAATTCAGAACCCACCATCTTCCCGTTTTCTCTCACATAGTGTGAATGTTAATATATATCTAACTATAATTTTGCTTACGGCTTTCGTTGATACGAGCATGAAAGGTGACGTCTCAATTGGAGTGGAAAATTTAGATACCGTGTACTTGGAAACAAAGCGCAGAGGAGAATATTCGTAGCGAAGCAGAGGGAAGCATAGACAGTGCCCACAATTCGGTCTCTTAGTCGCCGGCTTCCCACCGCGATGTCCCAGGTTCGATCCCACGCCAGATTATCTTGGTTTTGAGGTGCATAATGTGGAACTGGGGCAGGTTCTCTCCTGGTATTCCAGTTTCCCCTGCCAAATTCTCGTTCCATCAACTACTCAACATCTCATCTGTCTTCTGGGGCTGGTACGATAGGCCCAGTGGTGGCTGACGTACCAAGTGGACTCCGGTTCACCCCACCCCACCCCACGAATTAAAGGAGAATGTAAGGGCAGAAAATTAAATTGGTCGTTTAACAGTTTGGGTGGCTGAATTGAGGTATAGTTGCGCGTATTTTTACGATCTCTTAATTGTTCAACTTCAAGCTCCAGCCACTTTATTCCGGGTAAGAAATATCCTCTGGACAAATTGGATAGAAATAGTAGATCCCAGAGCCAATCTAGACGGTGTCAAGGAGGGAACACACAATGTCCATGTCGCTACTACTTGCTTACTGTTTGCTTATTTAATGACGTTATCAAGATCCCTGATATCAGTAATTTATTGCAAAACATTTTGAAAGAAGTGGTCGTGACCTAGTTT